TACATATAAATTATAAAACAAATTTGTAGCCAATTAGTATGATTTATTTATGTTGTTGATTTTATATTTGTGCATGAACACGGAAAAATCACATAATCCAACTTATATCTAAAATCATAGATTTAACTACAATAAGAATATATAGTTTTATAATAATAATAATTTATTTTATAAATATAAATTATAGGATGACTCAAAACATATTAAAAATGAAAATAAAATATTAACCAACTGTTGCAATCAGTTATTTTTTTAAAATTTATATACATGCATGAGACTTCAGAATATTTTTATTATATTAATTTATGTAATTTAGAACCAGAGACTTTAGTTTATTTTTATTTCATTCTAAAAACAATAGATACTAAGTTATACATAATCTTCCTAAAATATATTTACGTATCTAATACAACAACTAACCTAAATACAAATAAGAAATTAATCAAAATTTAATATATTTAGAATAAAAAACATTGTAGTTGAATTTAGAAAAATAGATACAGTCCAATAAATTCATATGATAACTAAATCGACTGTAAAAATAACAAAACCAATTAGATATAACATATCTACATTCATCTGCTAAAGTACTATAGTATTATTAATATAAATTATGCATATAAATTATAAATTANTAGTTCAGATATCCATATTATCCGAAGTTGAACAAATATCTGAAATCTAAAAATCCTAAAAGTACACAAAACCAAACCTGAACCTGAATAAGTACTCAAACTCGAAATAAGTACACGAAAAATAGTCAAAACTTTTAAATGTAAGTAAAACACTCAGTTTCATTTTTATTTTGGTGATTGATTATACAAATTTTGGATCGTGCGCATAGCTTCCGGATAAATAATATTTCGTGCAAAATACCTTAATTAGTCAAAAAAGTCCAAAAACAACAATAATTGAACATGCATAGATACCCAAGCCAACTTTAGTCGGAGAGGATCTGAACCAAACCCGACCTAATGATGTAAAATACCCAAACATGTATATCTAAACTCGAATACCTGAAATAATTGAACCTGAATGAGTATGCTTAGGTTGCAAATTAGAGATGTTAATGAGTAAATAAAGTTCCACATTACTAGTATGAAAATAATAAATTACTAACATAAAATAGATATGGCTAATTCATTTATAACCAATTAATTTTAAATTGGAAGTTCACGAAATTTACATATTATTAGAGCTACTTGATGTTTGGAATCTCTATGGATGTTGTTCCTACAATAATCCAAGTTTGAGCTAGGAACGTGTTAATGAATGAAGGCTCTTATCAGTAGTTAAAGAAATCATTAGTTAATATATAAAGTGATATGGTTAGTCCCATTATCAGTAATCTTATATATTAAAACAGAAGTCATGACTTGAGTTTATGTGTGATTTTTTTTAAAAATGGACTATTACTAGAAAGTCATGTTACATTAACTCTCTAATGATCTTATCATTATTATATCTTATGAAAAATCATATCTTTATAATATTATTTGAGAAGTCAGTTTCCTATGTGTCGCGCTCACGTTAACTTTCACAATGGTTGATTACATAGATACCCTTAATGAACTAAAAAATTATATCTAATTTCCATTACTATTAAAATTTTATTTATTTTTAATTTATCTTTTCTTTTCTTTATTTTCTTTCCAAATAATATTTATAATAAAAGTAAACATTGATTAATGAACTATAAATTTTAAAAACGAAATATGTATAATAAATAAGTTGATTTCATAAAAAAGGAAACTTAACAATAAAAGTTTTATTAAAGGAAGAAAATTAAATTTTTAAAACGAAAATATTTCAAATATATAATTTGAGTTCATAAAAAAGGAAAGTTCACAATAAGCATCTTAATATTAGAAATATATTCCTTTTAATACATAATCTTAAATAACATAATATATATATTTTTAAAGTAATAATAATATTTTCTTTACATCAAGCTATATTTTCAGATGATCAAAACTAACTTAGATAACATAACATAAATTGAAGTTTCTTTATGAAATTAAAGTATTTTAAAATTAATATTACTAAGGGTTTTACATATGTTTTTCATAATAATTTGTTAACATAAATTTAATTGAATTTTTTTTTGTATTTTTTATTACACTACATAAATTAAAAATATCTCGAATTATCTAAAGTATATTTATATTTTTCTTATATAAGATGATTTCAAAATATTAAATATAAAACAAATGTTTGAGTATTTATTTTTAAAAAGTAAAAGTAAATTAATATTTTTTTATATAAAATAATCTCTACAAAATTTTGTTATTTACTTAAAATACTAAACAACATACTTTAAAAATAATCTTAAGCAAGATGACATTATTAGAAAATGTAACTATTTTTTTATAATTCTATCTTAATAAAATAATTACAGAAATATTTTAAATATTATACGAAAATATATTTTTAGCGGACTATAGATATTTACTTTACTTCTTTTTTCTTAATCTTTAGTTGATTTTAAAATTTAATTTATATTTTAACAACCACTGTCTCCTTTATAATCTGAACTCCTAAACTAATCTGAATTCTTATGTTTAAAATTACTAATATAGTTTTTAATTTATCGTTTATACATCAAAATATATATTATTTTTAAAATTATATCGGTCATGTTCTTTTATGTTGTCATATTAATCATCAACTTAATTTTTATTGGTTTTTTAAAATCAACATCAAATATACAAAAAAAATGAAATCTATTTACACATCCTAGATAAAAAAACATAACTCCCACATTAAATAAAACTGATCTTATTTGGTTTAGCTGGAATAAAAATAGATGTATTTATAATTATATTTTTTATATATAAGAATAATTATAGTAATATCAACAAAAAAATGCAATATAATATATCCAAATAATAATTAAATCGATTAGATACTATATATCTTAAAT